GGGGGGGTCACTTTTTGGCGAAGGAGATCTTCATGGCGTTGTTCTGGGTGATCTTGAAGCCCTGGAGGGCATCGCGGGCAGCCCCTGCCTGCACCTCGTTATCGAACTCAACGAAGGCGATGTCATGCCGGCCCGGTACCAACCGCACCTCCTTAAAACCAGGGAACCTGGAGGGAGAAAGGTGGGGGGGCACAGGTGTCAACAGGGCCCCCCCAGACCCCTCCGCGGGGTCCTGTTTTGCCCCCACCCTGAGAAACTCACTGGTTGAAGAGCATGGAGAGCATCAGCTCGTTGGTCTCCTCAGGCAGGTTGGTGAGGAAGAGGATGTGATTCGGTGGGTTCTCCGATAACTGGGGTGGGGGAAAAAGGGGGTGTCAGCCCCAAAAGGAGGCAGGGGAGCCCCCCCAAAAGGCTCATACACACCCCGCCCCTCATCTCCCTCCTGGTTCGGGATGGTTTTTTAGATGCCGCAGCTCGTTCAGCATCAAATTCTGGGGAGAGGGGGGAGTTGTGCCGGGAATCCCGTTACTCACTGGCTGCGCCGGGGGCATCTGGCCCGGCATCACTTGCTGGGGGGGCATGGCCCCCGGGGGAATACCACCAGGAGTCATGCCGGGTGGGGGGATCATCCCCGGCGGGGGCATATAGGGGGGCTGCCCCGCCATATGGTGCATCATACGGGGAGCCTGGTTCAACGGCGGCATTCCCTGTGGGAAAAAAGAGGGGCTCAGTGCCCGTAAAACCCCCCTCAAACCAAAATGCACTACACAAAACCCCTCCCTCAATTCACCGGGACGGTTCCCTGAACGCCGCCTGCTGCCGCCGCTCCAGTTCCAGCTGCGGTTTTCTTTGCTGCGGGTGTGTCTTGATTTTTGGGTTTTCTTTTTTCTCGTTTCCGGTCGCGTTCGACAAATGTTCCTTTCATTTTGGCAATGATATCCGAATCCGTCTTGGCATACTGGATGCGCTACGGGGAAAAAAGCAAGGGGTGAGTGGGAACAGATTTGGGGGGCCTCCACGAGGATTTGGGGGACTCCATGGGGATTTGGGGGACTCTATGAGGATTTGGGATAGCTCCATGAGGATTTGGAGGGGCTCCATGGGGATTTGGGGATCTCCGTGGGGATGTGGAGGGGCTCCACAAGGATTTGGGTGTCTCTACAGGGATCTGGAGGGCTCCATAGGGATATGGAGGAGCTCTATGAAGATTTAGGATGGCTCCATGGGGATTTGGGGCAGCTTCATGGGGATCTGAAGGGCTCTGTGGTGACTGGCGGTGCTCCACGTGGATCTGGGCAGGGGTCCACAAGGATTTGAGGTGGCTCTATGAGGATTTTGCGGGGGGGAGCTCACCATGGGTTTGTCATAGAAGGGGAAGCCCTGCATGGAGCGCAGGGCATTGGTGGCACTGCTGATCTCCTTGAAGATGACGAAGGCCTGACCCCTCATCTTCAAGCTGCGCGACACCAGGATATCCAGGATTTGACCAAATTGCGAAAAAATCGCATAGAGGGATTTTTTCAACTCTGGGGAGAAAAAAAAGAAGGAGGAGGAGGGTGAGCGGGCAGGAAGGCAAGACCCCCCCCCCCCCCACACACACACCCCTTACCATCCTTTTTAATCTTCTCATTCAGGTTGTTGATGTAGATGGTGTGGTTGGGGCGCGGATCCTGCACTGCCATGTCGGGCCCCCCCCAACCTGCGGGGAGAGATGGGGGGGCTGGAGGGGAGGCTGAGGGGGGGCTGGCCCCCCCTCCCCTTTAACCCCCCAACCCCCACGGACTACTCGGGGAGGGACGACCCCCCCCCCGTAGGAAAGTGGCCCCAGGGATGGGCAAAGCTGTGTGGGGAGTTTGGGGAATGCCCCAGGCCCTCCCAGTGAGGAAGGGGTTACCCCCCCCGGTAAAAAAAGGGTTAATTCCCCCCCCCCCAGCCCCGGGGTCGCTCCACCCCGTGGGGACATCGTGTCCGTGTCGGAGCCCTCAC